CTGAGAAGGATGAAAAATTGTTTGAATTGGGTCAATTTTTCGGAAGAATGCAAAATTCGTTTCGGCCTGCCTATAAGCTTGAATCCCTTAGGGGAATTAACTCGGCTTCGACAAGTTGGGATAGTAGAAGACTACTGTCAAAGCTTCGAATTGTTGTTGGGTACGACGATGGGGGTCATACCGGAGCAAAGCATTTGGCACTTTTGTGTGGGGCTAATAAACGTGATAAGATATGAGGTTGAATTTGCAAGACCCATAAATCTATACTATGTCATGAATCTAGCCAGACAAATTGAGCTAAGGGTGGCAGAAGCAGGACAAGAAATAGGTGTCGGGCGTACAGGAAACCAAACCTTGACTGCAAGCCAAAAATGAGAGTCAGAAGGAAAAGGAGGAGCTGGAAACTACAAAACTGAAACACTAAATCCGGCCTGGAAAAAACTAACTTCTGCAGAAATGGCAGAGAGGCGGGCTAAAGGCTTGTGCTTCAACTGTGATGAAATATTATCGGTTGGGCATAAATGTGCCAAGCTCTTTTGCATCATGATGGATAATGAGGAAGATGACGCTAATGGGTGACTATTGAGCTTGAGGACAAGATCAATGCGGAGGAGGGGAGTAATGTTATGAATCATATGGATAATAAGTATTTTTAATTTCTAAAAAGTATCTTATTTTAGGGAATTATCTTGTTTCAATTTTTAAAATCGGTAATTAGGATCATTTAGTATTTGAGTCGATTTGGGTGATCTTTGTTTCCTTATTAGAGTCTTTTGTTTATCCCTATATAAATGGTAGTTATTTATGAAATAAAACTATGCTTGAAGTCAAATGCTTTTAATCTCTTAGAATAGTTTAACCTAGTCTCCTCTCAAGAGGAGATTAAGTGATAGTAATACTCACGACTGTAGGTCTGTCACGAGATCTAGATCCTGGGGCGTAACAAATGCCCATTGATTTTCGTCCCCATGGTACACGTTTTCTGAATACCTATATTTTGAACTAGATTTGACAACACATAGGCACGCTTTCATCCTTTGACATATGAAGATATTATCTTTCTTCGTAATACTTTTGTATATCAAACAACAAACTTGGGTTCATACCAAGATCTTTTCACTTGGCATGCATCATACACTACACATTGAACAAACATCGTTCCATCAATCTTTGGTTCCTTTAAAGAACCATAAATCATCATCATCATCATCATCATCGACCCTAGAATCTTTTCATATTAATCGAAAGTACTTCGAATTCAAACGCACATGTGATCAATCCGTGACTCCATTTATTATCAAGAACGGTGGATCACTAGCAAGGCTTGGATAAATGATAGCCACTCTATGGATGAAACACATATCACCGGCACAGGGAGCGAAGATGGTGCCATCGGTCACATTACCAGGGGCAGAAACAACAAGACTCCTACCACCGGTCCTATACCACAACCATATTGCATCTCATTTACATATTCTTCGATGCTTTCTCCATTTTCTTCATCTGTCATTCTTGAACCAAAAGGCTCTGATACCACTTTGTTGGAGAAAGCATATCGAAACAAGAAGATAGAAGGAGATATTGTGCAGGAAACAAATAGAATTTTTTATTAATTTCACAGAACATCACAATTAGTTTACTTGCACGCATATATAATGTTTGAACCATCACAATGGTTCACCTAAACTATCACAACGGTTCATAACTTGATAGTAAAACTAACTTATAACTACCTTATTTAACAGGATACAATATAACTAACTAACAATCTAGGTTAATTCTAACAAAGAACACTACAAACATCATGGGCCCATGTGATATTAATGGGAGTGTGGCTCTACTTCCTAACAAACCTATAGTTCTGATTAAAATCATTGAGGTTTTCTTACAACAGGTGTGGCCTATGATGTATTATGTTTATGGATATAATACATCGTATTGATTAGGAAACCTTTGTATAGGCATCATCACTTGGTTTTTGTATTTCAATGGACCAACCAATCCTTGAAATATTTTTTGATCCTATATTGGCCTTTAGATTCAAAAATTAATTATGTATTTTCTTTCTTTTTACAAGAGGAAAGACAAAGGCATGTGGTATTGATCCCATTTACACCCTATGTCACCATCCTTAATCTAATTTTCCATATATTATATCGATATATTAACCATTCAAGATGAATAACACAACCACAAATTCACAGCTTTTTCCCAAGAAGTCGTGCTTTGAGAATTTTCATTCACCGTAAGCCTTTTGAAGTTAACAGACAATACCCTCCTTGTAAAATGGCCATTCTTATGCCCCGCATCACTCAAGCAAAGCAAATTCTTAAACGGTCATTCTCAAATGGAAGTAGCACAACAAAATCTATGGATATCCCAAAAGGCTGTTTAGCCGTTTATATTGGTGAGCAAGAGAAGAAGAGATTTGTAGTTCCCGTATGGTTGTTAATGCAAACTACTTTTCATGAACTGGGTATAGTCATCCAATGGGTGGCCTGACTATTCCATGTAGTGAATAAACGTTCACGATTCAGCTTCTCGTTTGGGCGCATTATGACACTTGTATACAACATTCTTAGTTATCATGAGTAGTTAAATGACCAGTAGAATTTTTTTTTATCATTTGTAATTAGACAATTGTTCCATTTTTGTAAGACACTTGAACCATAACTGTTTAGAGTTTATTGGATTTTGTTTAGCGTTATGAGATATGAAATGCAGAAAATTGCATCATCCACTATTTTGGCTATAATAATTTCTCATACCTTGATGTGCGTCCCTAAGAAGTTAATTAAAACCACATCATATCAGTTTGTTTTTTCAGAAACCGGTATGCAAAATGATAAAATGAATTAAGAAAAGTCTATTAGAACGGATCATGGGCTTTGTCGCCATCCATGTTCCTGCATGTAATAAATTTATATTTTTGTATTCAAAGGGGATACCATATAGATACACATATCATGAAACAACTATAAAAAGTATGCTGAGCATAAAAATAAAATGTAATAAATATAGTAGAAGATTAGAATGGGACTTTAGTTTACACATACAATGAAATAACTCTAAAAGAGTACGCTGACGCCTATGACGCCCACACATTTGTAGCTTGATATTCATTGGAAGAGAACTAGAGGACCTGCTACAATCTGATAGTAAAGCTATTACTGGAGGAATGCAAACTTATTTAATACAAATATACAAGAGTTTCTTATAGATTATTCTGGCAATAGGCTACGTAGGACTACCTTAATTAATCAATGAAGGGTTATGGCTTATTATAATCATATATAATTAAACAGCCACATACACAAAATTTATTTTGATGATGTCCGCTTTTTTATTGATAAATCTTTAATTCATATGAAAATGGTAGAATCCCACTAGGTGTGTATGTCTCCACACCTCTCCTCCTATCCCCTCGCGTAAAGCCTAATACATAGTGATAAATGGGAAGTTTGGACTAATGTGGCAACAAATATTGATTACTTGTTGCCCCCCACATGGATATTTTTGCTTATATGACAGTTTAATTTGGCTAGAAGATACTCCAAGTGTGCTTTAGTTAGGTGTTTGATGCTTCAAATCTACTATAAGAAATTATGGGCATCTCCCCTTTCAGACTATTAGCTCTGGAGAATTCTTCTTAAGACTTGTCTTATAGTTAAAACATAAGATGGTTCTATCTTAGGAACCCTAGGAGAAAATACGTATAAGATGATAAGAAAGCAATTAAATTAAAGATAGGGACGCTGTAACAGAAAGGCAATATCATGTGCTCTGTTTCTCAACTTGCAAGAAAGTATGATCTTACTTATCACAACCATATATTCAGAGATAAAATAATGGATTAAACTTGTACTTGTATACCTAAAAGGATTATCATGGAGGAAGACATGTATGGCCAGAATTCTCTACAGAAGGTAAGCAGTGAAGAACTCTACAAACATCATGGGCCCATGTGATATTAATGGGAGTGTGGCTCTGCTTCCTAACAAACCCATAGTTTTGTCTTAAATCACTGGGGTTTTCTTACAACAGGTGTGGCCTATGATGTATTATGTATATGGATATAATTCATCGCATTGATTAGGAAACCTTTGTATAGGCATCATCACATGGTTTTTTTTATTTGGATGGACCAACCAATCCTTGAAATATTTGTGAAGCTATATTGGCCTTTAGATTCACAAATTAATTATGTATTTTTTTCCTTTTTATAACAGGAAAGACAAAGGCATGTGATATTGATCCCATTTCCAGCATATGTTACCATCTGTCATCTAATTTTCCATATACCATATGGATATATAAACCATAAGATGAATAACATAACCACAAATTCACATCTTTTCCCCAAGAAGTCGTGCTTGAAGAATTTTCATTCACCGTAAGCCTTTTGAAGTTAACGGACAATACCCTCCTTATAAAATGGCCATTCTTATGCCCCGCATCACTCAAGCAAAGCAAATTCTTAAACGGTCATTCTCAAATGGAAGTAGGACAACAAAATCTATGGATATCCCGAAAGGCTGTTTAGCGGTTTATGTTGGTGAGCAAGAGAAGAAGAGATTTGTAGTTCCCGTATGGTTGTTAATGAAACCTACTTTTCAACAACTGCTTGATCAGGCTGAGGAAGAATTTGGGTATAGTCATCCAATGGGTGGCCTCACTATTCCATGTAGTGAATATATGTTCACCGATTTGGCTTCTCGTTTGGGCGCATTATGACTTGTATACAACATTCTAATTAGTTATCATGAGTAGGTGACTGACCAGTAGAATTTTTTTTTATCATTTGTAATTAGAGACTATTGTCCCATTTTTGTAAGAAACTTGAACAAGGAACTATTTAGACTTCATTGTATTCTGTTTAGCATTATGAGATAAGAGATGAAATGCAGAAAATTGCACAATCTACTATTTTGGCTCTAAATATTTCTCATGCCTTGAAGTGTGTCCCTACTATACGCAGATAAAATCACCTCATACGTCAGTTACCTTTTTCAGAAACTGATATATAAAATGATATAATGAATTAAGAAAAGGCTACATGAGAACGGATCATGAGCTTTTTTGCAATCCATCTTCCTGTATGCAATAAATTTATGTTTTTGTATTCAAAGGGCATACCATATAGATACACATATAATGAAACTGTAGAATATATAAATCAAAATAACACCCTGTGTTTGTTTGCTGCTCTGATATGTCGATAGAATAGAAGAAAAGAAAATATTGATTATAAAAAGAACTAATGTACTTAATGGAAAATTGAAAGCAAAAAACCTCTAATACTTTTACTCATGATAGAAGGCTATATATAGCCCTCTTAAAATCCACAAGCAAAAACAAGAAAACTTCAAAAGGCTTACGGTGAATGAAAATTCTCAAAGCACGAACAACAAAAACCGCTAAACAACTCTATATACTAAGCTAATAAAATATAAGATAATAAATTCTTAAACAATTCTCAAAGCACGAACAACAAAAAAATGATCCTTATCTTTATGATAATTTTTTTAAAAAAAAAAATATATAATGAAAAAAATTGGGCCCTGTGCAGCTGCCCACTTTGCCCTCCATCAACGCCCCCCCCCCCCCCCCCCCCCATGAAGAAAAGAGCCTAAAGACTCGTACCACCTACTGAACCATTCTTCCCATGTGCTCCAAAGTCCATGGAATTGGTCAAACAAAGAAAAACAATTCTATATACTAAGCTAATAAAATATAAGATAATAAATACTTATTATAACCAAAGTTTCAGCCATGCATGTAAAATTGTGACTACCAAACTGATTAACAAACCAACAATCACCCCGTTAATCAGTTTGTTTTTTTCATCCCACTAGATCACAGCAATGTCGGCTCCTCCTCGATGATCAAGTTTGCTTCTTTTTTCCACTTTGGACATTCGTTGTTGTAATGATCGAATTCACCACATTTGTAGCATTTTACGTGACTCTTGTCCCGAACACGTTCCTTACCATCTTGGCTCCTCCCGGACCCACGACCTCTTCCCCGGCCACGTCCAAATCCGTCCCGATGCGAACCGCCACTGCCACAATGCATACAACCATCCGACTTTTCTTCTCTTGACAACAACAACCCACCATGAACGTCCTCCACCTTCTCGGATCCTTTGATGCGCTCCTCATATGCCTTTAGTCTACCGATGGCTTCATCAAAAAACATCGTATCCAACTCAAAGCATTGTTCAATCGATGCCACAATTTGTTGAAAGGACTTGGGCATAGAATCAAGTAACCTTTTCACCAAGTCAACTTCTTCAAGTTCATGTCCGAGACTCCGTGCTTTCGAAGCTAAACCACTCAACTTGGCTGCAAAATCATCAATGGTTTCTCCCTCCTTCGTACGCAAGCTTTCTAGTTCCCTCTTCAATGTTGCTAATTGAGCCGTTCTTACCCGATCCACACCCAAATACCGAGTTTTTAATCCTTCCCAAACCCTTTTTGGATCGGTGTAATCGGACATTTGCAACACTATCTCTTCTGGTATTGCTTGAAACAAGAAAGCAAGAGCTTGTTTCTTCTTCTTTGGATCCGATTCTCCACCGGATGTCTTTGCTTCAACAGTCTCCCATATTCCATGTGCATCCATGATAGACTTTACTTTGACTGCCCATACCAGATAGTTGGTTGAGGTCAAAATCGGAATCTGATATGACATTTAACCCATCAGGACTTGGTCTAATGAAAGACCTGGTTTGGTGGAGCTTCAATAAACTTGGACTTAGTAGTCCTATCTTTGTGATTTTAACTGATAATTCTCCTTTTTCATAGCATGTTTATTATTATAAATAGAGTAGGGTTTATCTTCTAGGGTGTAGGACGTGTAGGTTTGTATTTTCGGTTTTCATGAATGAGTAATACACAGAAAATTGTCCTATCTTCAGATTGCATGTTCCTTATTTTACTGTGAGTATTAGTGCATGTTTGATCTTGTGTAGAGAATGTTCCGACAATTGGTATCAGAGCACCCAGGTTCACACCTGGTTCTCAGCAAGAAAGAGAGAATGAAAGCAAGAAGTTTGGTGATAGGAGGATCAAATCTGTAGCAAGAAAGTAAGCAGTAAGCATGAAGAAAGATTGCACAACAGCAAATTAGAATGAAAGAAAAAAAGAAAGAAAGAAAGAAAGAAAGAAAGAAGAAAAAGAGAAGAAAGAAAGAAAGAAAGAAAGAAAGAAAGAAAGAAAGAAGAAAGATAGAAAGAAAGAAATAAAGAAGAAAGAAGAAAGAATGAAAGCAAGCAACAAGTCCGATCATGTTTGTTAATCAGAAGAAAGATGCAGCAACAATTTTTGTTGTTTGTTAGCAGGTAAGAAAGTAATTAACAAGCAGGAGAGGCCGGTTGCAAGCAAGATAGTAAGCATGTAGTCTTGTAGCACGTAGCAGACAAGAAAGAAAGCAAGCAGTAAGGGTGATCAAAAGAAAGAATGAAGCAACTAAGCAAGTAGCAGGTTGGTTACTCTCTTGATCAGAAGAAAGTAGCAGGAGTAGAAGTGTGTTGTATGTTAGCAAGAAAGAAAGAAGAAGCATGCAACAAGAGCAAGAACCGACTTTGTTGTGGTGAAGATCGAAATGGGTCAAGAAGTATCAAGATTACCGGGGGGGGGGGGGGGGGGGGGGAATGTTGGGTAATCTTGATGGGTTAAGTTGTTCATGGGTACGGATTCGAATGGGTCGCTCTAGTTTCCTTATCCACAATGGTAGACTTGTATACACATCCTCCATCAAGCGTAGGTATAAACTGCACATGATGAGACCTATATTATCAAATAGTAAATGGAAGACTTTTCGCTTGTAAATGGAGGATGTGTATACAAGTCTACCATTGTGGATAAGGAAACTAGAGCGACCCATTCGAATCCGTACCCATGAACAACTTAATCCATCAAGATTACCCAACATTACCCCCCGTAATCTTGATGCTTCTTGACCCGTTTCGATCTTCACCACAACACGAAAAAAGTACCAAAACTAAGTGTGTCTATCTTCATTCTTTCTTTTCTATCTGGGTGTATTTTGAGCCATACGTATCTGATTTCTAACAGAAACATCACCTACAAAGTATGCCGGCCATAAAAGTTAATAAATAATAAACATAGTAGTACATGAGAATGAGACTAATCATAAAAAGTAATAAATAGTAAACATAGTAATACATGAGAATGAGAGTGTAGTTTATACAAGAGATAAATATTTGTATTCAGTTTAGGAAATATTTATTTAAATATGAAGTACACAACACTAGGCTTACTTCAACGTAAAACACTGCATGTTCTGTTTCATTTTATGTTCTATTTTTTTTCCTGTTTTGTACCCTCTAATGTTTATATATATATATATATCTTTCATAATGCATTTTTTTGTTTAAAGAAAAACATAAAATCAACCTGATGCCTATGGAGCTCGGAGGTTTATAACTTGATTTCATCGGAAGATAACTATAATATCTGCAACAATTATTAGTGGAGGAATGCAAACAGATTTAGTACAAATATACAAGAGTTTCTTATCGGGCAAGATTATTCTTGCAAAAAGCAACATAGGACAAATTTAATGAATCAGATGAAGAGTTTTGGCTTGTTTTAATCATAAATAATTAAGGACCCACATATGTAAAATTTGTTTTGATGATAAATGTGGAATTTTCGGTATCTCCCCTTTCCCAGTACTAGCTCTGGAGAATGCTTATCTTAAAACTTTTCTTGTAGATCCAAACTTTTGCACATAGTTATAGATTCTAGTAATTTAGCTCTATGACTAGTGCTACTTTTTATTACGGATCACATACTTGTTAGTCAAATGGAGTGCTGAACAATACTTGGGTACATGGCCTTGTGATATATATATATATATATATATATATATATATATATATATATATATATATATATATATATATATATATATATATATATATATATATATGTATATTTATATAGGATGGTTCAATTGAAAAAATATTGAGAACGAGGTAATAATTCTCAGCCAATCATTTAATTAACCTCTAAACATAAAGGACACGATGACAAACTTGAAAAATGTTATATAATAGCCTTCAATCACAAATACGTAAGTGTAGAAAGTTAGATAACAGTTGAAATTCATTCCAATAGATCATTCATCATCCAAATTTTTCCTTCAACATTCAACAATCATCCAGATTTCTTCAACTAAATCACCGGTCAACGTCATCTTGTGTTAATCAATAATTGATCTTCGTCAATAACACGTTTATCAACACCATTCATTCAACAGTTGACAACAAAAATTCGTTTTTTGTTTTTTCAATCCAACCTTCAATTCTACTTGAATACGAGCATATCTTTAACATCAACGATTAATTATACTCCAAACATCATTAGATCAACATCATCGATAATCAACAAAAAATTCAATTCATATCATTCATTCTACATTGTTCATCAAATAAAAATCGAAATAAAGGTTAGAGAAAGACCAAATCATTTTTTGTTTGAAAATTTTCATATAATTCTCTATCAATCTGCTATTTTGTAAGATTTAAATAGTCAAAGTATCATATTTTTTGTTTGAAAATTTTCATATAATTCTCTATCAATATGCTATTTTGTAAGATTTAAATAGTCAAAGTATCATATTTTTTGTTTGAAAATTTTCATATAATTCTCTATCAATATGCTATTTTGTAAGATTTAAATAGTCAAAGTATCATATTTTTAATA